TTCCATAAGAATGGATTAAGTACACAAGACTGACCCAGGTCTACGAACATGGTCTCCCTTAAATCACTTCATCTTTTCTCACAACTTTCAAAATTATATTTTCCCACCTGTATCACACTAATATTTGCCATAATAAACCCAATGGCCACACACTCTCTCCATAACTACATCCAAAATTAATTTTCTATTTGTATTATTTTGGTATTGGGCTTAAGGCCTTTCAGCCTCTGGAGGGTGACTAAGGCCACCACAAGAGTTTACTGACCAACCAGTAACAACATTGTCCAGGACTAAAGTAAACTCTCAGTGTATATACACCAAGAAGCGGGGTACTCCTCTCGGTGTATCCCGCCCGGTGTACCCTTGTGGCTCTGATTCTATCACAACTATTTAAGCACATTTTCCATTTAACCGGATGCAGTTCTGAGAGTTTACCACAAAGCTGAAGAAACTCACTGTCAGCTGTGATGAAGATTTCCAGTTCCAGAAGAGGGCGCCACACCTCTTCCTGGAGCGTTGTGAGCTGGTTGTGGCTGAGGTAGATCTGCCCCGAGGTCATACCTGCAGCAGCAGCAGCAGTAGTCAGTATTACTCCAGTCCCACGCAATAGCACAAATGTTCAATATAACCCATGTTTATACATCAACATTTGACTGATGCATCTGGCAACCGACTGACATAAATATTCCAACCCATCCTCCTGTTTAGATGGTAGTTTTTATAACTATGCGCACCATAGTACAAAGATTGATGTACTAAACAATTAGATAGTAGAATTTTGTCCTATTCACTTTATAAAGTTCGAAAAAATGAAGCTTAAAAACAAACGTAAATATTCCTAGGCCTAGTATAGCACACATGTACTTTATTAGGCCTCAGATATTGTGTATTAGGCCTAGGAAGGTTAGGTTAGGTTGGTTTATTTTGTCTTTGCAGCATAAATAGAAAATGTTTTTTCGTTTGTCCAAATTCAATAGTACCGATTTCTACTTTCTAATGGCGTTGTGCGTCTGTATATGTACTATGGTCCTCATTGTTACTATAAGTACTACCAAAACAGGAGGAGGGGCTGAGTATAATAAAAATGTATATGATATACTAAAACCAGTATTTCCTCAAGCATAATCTATCTATATCAATAAGAGAAATTGTCTGTTTGTTTGTCTGTCCAGGGTGACATAAATATAGGAAATAGGGAGCCGGTCGGCCGAGCGGACAGCACACTGGACTTGTGATCCTGTGGTCCTGGGTTCGATCCCAGGCGTGGCGAGAAACAATGGGCAGAGTTTCTTTCACCCTATGCCCCTGTTACCTAGCAGTAAAATAGGTATCTGGGTGTTAGCTGTCACAGGCTGCTTCCTGGGGGGTGGTGGAGGCCTGGTCGACGACCGGGCCGCGGGGACACTAAAAGCCCCGAAATCATCTCAAGATAACCTCAAGAAGAAGAAGGGTTAGATGTTTGACCAGATGTTTGGGGCTGCCTCACCCAACTTTGCAGGGAGAATGGTCTAAGGTACGGGATGGACATATGCCAGTCGGGGTCGGCACGTGCCACATTTTAAGAAATATCAGCCTTAACCAAACCCCCTTGCCACAAGGGAGTTTTCATAAAGTCTAAAATGAACTCGTAGATGTGTTTTTTGGAGTTTTTTTAAGTTACTCCCGCCGTTTACCCGTACTTTGTCATGATTTTCTGTGAAAACAATGAGCTGAATTCATTCAGGTTATAGCGATATAGTGAGTAGTGAAGATGGTTATGGTGATGAAGATAGTATATACAGAGAAGATAGTATCTAATGAAGAAGTAAGATGAGGGAAGGGTGGACAGGGGGGAAGATGAGAGGAGATGGGGAGCAAGGGGATGATGAGGGAAGAGGGAGGACTTGGGTATGATGAGAGATCGAGGCGATGAAATGGGGTAAAAAGGGAAGAGTTGTGGGAAGAGGAAGGAGAAGGGGGGAAGAGGAAAAAGGAGAGGAAAGGTGTGAAATGGAGGAAGATGAGGGGAGAGGGAAAGGGGGGAAGGTGGAGTGGGAAGAGGAGGAGAGGGGAGGGGAGGGGAGAGGGAAGAGCAAAGTAGAGGAAGGGGGAAGAGACTGATACAGACCTGGGCACCGCCGGGTAACACCCCCTCCCCTCTAGTTTATCCATAAATGGACATTTCTGTATGTCTGTGTCTGTCCAAGGTTGGGGGCTAGATGTTTAGGCCTAGCTTCACAGTAATTGCAGTTGGGTACGTGCCCAACATGGGTGTGTCTCGATATGGCGACAAAGAAAAAGGTGTCATGTGACACTGTGTCAACCTGACTGCCACGAGAAATCTCGGAATATCATTGATTAGACCGAAAATTATTTTTATGTGTTTTTTTGGTGAAACTTTATGTTCTCGTGAACTCGAAATTAAACAAGATATAGTTCTACCTATCATACTTTGGTTGTGCAACCCGTCCTCTTGGTAGAACGTTGCATTTTGACGTATACTTTACATAAGGCCAAAAATTGTCATACTAGAAAATGGTAGCGGCTGGCAAAATTGACACACTCTCCCGTTTTCTGTTTTGGGTTCTCTGGTAGGTTAGGATAAGGGCGCTTTAGTACGACCGTTTCTTGACGTAGAGAAACTTTAGGAGGACGGGCTGGGTTGATTTTCAGTACATCAATTTATGTAAACGTCAACATTCGATGTAGATGTCAACATTTAGCAGTCTCCCTGGTGTAGTGGTAAGACACTCGCCTGGCGTTCCGCGAGCGCCATGGGTTCGTATCCTGGCCGGGGAGGATTTACTGGGCGCAATTCCTTAGCTCTACTTGCCTCTGTTTAACGCAACAGTAAAATGTGTACTTGGATGAAAAAACGATTCTTCGCGGCGGGGATCGTATTCCAGGGACCTGCCCGAAACGCTACGCGTACTAGTGGCTGTACAAGAATGTAACAACTCTTGTATATATCTCAAAAAAAAAAAGAAAATGTACTGTTGGAGAGGCCGGGTTGTGTGACCAGCGGGGAGGACAGTGTATTATACACACATACACCCACCCTGCGGCCCTTTGTTTTGATGAAGGTGCATGTCAACACCCTCTACCTCCCTCACCTAGTGTCTTTATTTCACACTCACTATAGTCTCCCCTGCTTGCTCCCTGCCTGTGGCAGTCACTTGTGTGCTCGCGTGTAGGTCTGTGAACCTCCGTCCTGCTGTTTGTAAAACCATTTGCACAACCAGACCTTAACACCAGACCCTACGTGAGTTATATATAAATACAATCAATAATAAATATTCTGAAATATAAATGAACATTTTTTTAATTTTGTCTCGAGAGGCGAGTTTATTGGGCAGCGCCACTCATCCTGTGAGTGGACACACCGCCATAGTGACAGTATTGGCAGCGCCACTCATCCTGTGAGTGAACACACCACCATAGTGTCAGTATTGGGCAGCGCCACTCATCCTGTGAGTGAACACACCGCCATAGTGTCAGTATTGGGCAGCGTCACTCATCCTGTGAGTGGACACACCGCCATAGTGACAGTATTGGGCAGCGTCACTCATCCTGTGAGTGGACACACCGCCATAGTGACAGTATTGGGCAGCGTCACTCATCCTGTGAGTGGACACACCGCCATTGCAGCATGTACAACACTCCCCAATAGGAAGAAAACCCGCTGGGTTGCTCATCATCTCACCTTCAAAGGCGTCGACGGCAACGTTTGTGATGTTGTTGAAGGAAAAGTTCACCATTCCGCGAAGGTTTTGGAGGTGGACCGCGTCCTTGGAGAGGTGCGTGAAGTGGTTCTTGGAGAGAGTAATGTATTCCAGGTTGGAGAGGTTTGATAAAGTGCCTGAGGAACATGAGTCATGGTTAGTGTTTATTATAACACGTGAGTGACACGAGGGATGTTATGTGCCCAGGGGAACCACACGCGCGCACGGACCACTGTTGATTACACCTCACATATCATGACTGTGAACATGGGCAAGGTGTGGCTGGTGGGTGTGAACATGGGCAAGGTGTGGCTGGTGGGTGTGAACATGGGTGGCTGGAGGGTGTGAACATGGGCAAGGTGTGGCTGGAGGGTGTGAACATGGGCAAGGTGTGGCTGGAGGGTGTGAACATGGGCAAGGTGTGGCTGGTGGGTGTGAACATGGGCAAGGTGTGGCTGGTGGGTGTGAACATGGGTGGCTGGAGGGTGTGAACATGGGCAAGGTGTGGCTGGAGGGTGTGAACATGGGCAAGGTGTGGCTGGAGGGTGTGAACATGGGCAAGGTGTGGCTGGTGGGTGTGAACATGGGCAAGGGGTGGCTGGTGGGTGTGAACATGGGTGGCTGGATGGTGTGAACATGGGCAAGGTGTGGCTGGAGGGTGTGAACATGGGCAAGGTGTGGCTGGAGGGTGTGAACATGGGCAAGGTGTGGCTGGAGGGTGTGAACATGGGCAAGGTGTGGCTGGAGGGTGTGAACATGGGCAAGGTGTGGCTGGTGGGTGTGAACATGGGTGGCTGGAGGGTGTGAACATGGGCAAGGTGTGGCTGGAGGGTGTGAACATGGGCAAGGTGTGGCTGGTGGGTGTGAACATGGGCAAGGTGTGGCTGGAGGGTGTGAACATGGGCAAAGTGTGGCTGGTGGGTGTGAACATGTGCAAGGTGTGGCTGGAGGGTGTGAAAATGGGCAAGGTGTGGCTGGTGGGTGTGAACATGGGCAAGGTGTGGCTGGAGGGTGTGAACATGGGCAAGGTGTGGCTGGTGGGTGTGAACATGGGCAAGGTGTGGCTGGAGGGTGTGAACATCGGCAAAGTGTGGCTGGTGGGTGTGAACATGTGCAAGGTGTGGCTGGAGGGTGTGAAAATGGGCAAGGTGTGGCTGGTGGGTGTGAACATGGGCAAGGTGTGGCTGGTGGGTGTGAACATGGGCAAGGTGTGGCTGGTGGGTGTGAACATGGGCAAGGTGTGGCTGGAGGGTGTGAACATGGGCAAAGTGTGGCTGGTGGGTGTGAACATGTGCAAGGTGTGGCTGGAGGGTGTGAAAATGGGCAAGGTGTGGCTGGTGGGTGTGAACATGGGCAAGGTGTGGCTGGAGGGTGTGAACATGGGCAAGGTGTGGCTGGTGGGTGTGAACATGGGCAAGGTGTGGCTGGAGGGTGTGAACATGGGCAAGGTGTGGCTGGTGGGTGTGAACATGGGCAAGGTGTGGCTGGTGGGTGTGAACATGGGCAAGGTGTGGCTGGAGGGTGTGAACATGGGCAAGGTAGGACCTGAAGACAATGTTCTGTGTAACTGGAAAACATAATTCCATTACAAATACCAATTAACACAAGTTAAAGGAAGGCAGAATGTACCTGGGATGATCTCGTGGAGGTCGTCGGAGGAGAGTGTGAGGAGGATGAGTGAGGGCAGGTACGTGAAGGCATCAGCCGGCAGGTACCCCAGAGGGTTCTCCGCCATCTCCAGCCACTGCAGGCTCGGCGACACCATCTGCGGGAACTCCGTCAGGTTGTTCGTGTTCAGGTAAAGTTGTAAGAGTTTGGGAAACTGTGAGAGATCTTGGAAAGGAAACGTCGATATCTTGTTAAATGAAAAATCAAATTTATGAGCCGTAGAGAAGCTGCCGGAGAGGGCATGGTCCTCGATCTCCTCCAAGACACCATTGGTAATACTGAACTCCTGGTAGGTGGTGTTGCCCAGGGCCCCTTCTCTCAGCACCCTCACGTGGGTATTGTTCCTCATTATGAACTCGTGGAAGTTGAGCTTGGGGAAGTTGGCACTGAACACTGCGGCTAACTCCTCTTCACTTGTAACGTCTGAACAGTCCATGATCAAGTTGGGGAAGGTGGACTCGGAGCAGGTGCAGGGGAAGATCTGGTCAGGGTTGGGGCAGTTGGGAGTGGGGTCACTGCTCACTAGGTCATGCACAGTGCTGCTCAGGATAATATTAACCAGGATTTTGAACGGTAATGTCACCATTTTCAGCAGTGGGGTCGGCGGGCTAGGAGGTGGTGACGGTGAGATCTCCGGACACACACTGGTGAAGTGCACAACACTGTGGCTCCCGATAAAATATATTTGGTTGATAAGAAAGTGGGTGACATAAGGTGTGCTTCTCGCGGATTTCCTTTTAGAAGTTGCCGTCTCCTGACTCTCTTAACTCATTACAAATGAGCACATAAATCGCACGCAAACACCACATTCAATATATATATATATAATATATATATATATATATATATATATATATATATATATATATATATATATATATATATATATACAGTATATATAATTTGCAACTTTGTTATTTTCTTAGCTTAGGTTACTTCAGGTAACCTAACCTAAGCTTTTCACACACACACACACACACACACACACACACACACACACACACACACACACACACACACACACACACACACACACACACACATGGGCAGTTTCTTTCATCTTGATGCTCCTGTTACCTAGCACTGAATAGGTATCTGGGAGTTAGACAGCTGTTACGGGCTGCTTCCTGGGAGTGTGTGTGTGTGTGTGTGAAAAAAATTAGTAGTAGTTAGTAAAAGTTGATTGATTAACAGTTGAGAGGCGGGCCGAAAGAGCAGAGCCTAACCCCCGCAAACACAACTAGGTGAATACACGCATACACACACACACACACACACACATTAACTAAGAAGTGATGTGGTGGAGGCTGACTCTATACACAGTTTCAAGTGTAGATATGATAGAGCTCGAGAAGCTCAGGAATCTGTACACCAGTAGAGTGACGGTTGAGAGGCGGGACCAAAGAGCCACAGCTCAACCCCCGTAAGCACAACTAGGTGCGTACAACTAGGTGAGTACACACACACACACAAACAGACGTAGTATCAGTAACAGGTGTTTGCAGGTGTTGTTGAGGATGGAAGTTCTCAGGGCGATACAAGAGATCTTAAAGCGATGCGTCGGCCCCTTTGGTTCGGGCTCATTGATGCTCCCGCCTCAAGAAAACATTAAATGTCATCCCAACTTGCTGGTAATATCTTATTTCCTCGATATCTCTTCACTACGGCAGCTCAGTGGCATGATATCTCTTTTGTTGTCACATTCGCCCAGGTTCGACCCCTAGCAAGGAGGGGTCGAAGTAATTGAGCAGCAGGAGGGAGCAGTAATTAGGACTTGATTGTAAACTATTAGCTAAAAATCTTCGATAAAATGACTAAAGATTTATAGAACTCAATAAAAATGTATTAGTAAACAGAAAATACTAAACAGAAAAATAACTTTAAACAGATCGCACAACATACTTGCAGAAGACGAAAATTAGTGAGTGAACAAATGATTCGAGGACTCAGTGTTCAACTTGGGTCTCGTCTTGGCCACGTGGATCAATTCCAAAATATTAATCTTTAGTCCCTAAGACTTGGAAGTCAGTACAGTGAAATCTCTGTGAGTGAGAAGGTTGCTCAAGACTTCATAGTCCTGAAGGGGGCGCGGGAAGAAGTCCCCATGTGTGCTCACAGGTACGGTGTTAAGGTGTCGTGAGGCATTCCCTTCTTATCCAGCCATACAAATCGAACTTTTAAAAGGAAATCAGGAGATCTGAGATCACTGAGCGAATTGTTATGTTTTAGGTTCAATATTGTGATAAGCGCAAATTGAAAGCTAATATGTGAATAGAAATATCTCAGAATGTTACGAAGTTCTTTTCGAATAATAGATCACAGCACGCAAATGAGAATGTGTATATAACGAATGTTATCCGCACAGTTGTGAATTTTAACAATAAGTGGAAGTTTACGACTTCAGAATATATATATATATATATATATATATATATATATATATATATATATATATATATATATATATATATATATATATATTATATATATAATATATATATATATGCGAACAAGCCTGAATGGTCCCCAGGACAATATGCAACTGAAAACTCACACCCCAGAAGTGACTCGAACCCATACTCCCAGGAGCAACGCAACTGGTATGTACAAGACGCCTTAATCCACTTGACCATCACGACCGGACAAAATGAGGTGATAGCCGAGGCTATTTGAACCACCCCACCGCCGGCACTCGGATAGTAATCTTGGGCATAGCAGTTTACCAAATCACCTCATTCTTTGGGGCACACGTGAGGAACACAAATGCGAACAAGCCTGAATGGTCCCCAGGACAATATGCAACTGAAAACTCACACCCCAGAAGTGACTCGAACCCATACTCCCAGGAGCAACGCAACTGGTATGTACAAGACGCCTTAATCCACTTGACCATCACGACCGGACAAAATGAGGTGATAGCCGAGGCTATTTGAACCACCCCACCGCCGGCACTCGGATAGTAATCTTGGGCATAGCATTTTACCAAATCACTTGTTCGCATTTGTGTTCCTCACGTGTGCCCCAGAGAATGAGGTGATTTGGTAAAATGCTATGCCCAAGATTACTATCCGAGTGCCGGCGGTGGGGTGGTTCAAATAGCCTCGGCTATCACCTCATTTTGTCCGGTCGTGATGGTCAAGTGGATTAAGGCGTCTTGTACATACCAGTTGCGTTGCTCCTGGGAGTATGGGTTCGAGTCACTTCTGGGGTGTGAGTTTTCAGTTGCATATTGTCCTGGGGACCATTCAGGCTTGTTCGCATTTGTGTTCCTCACGTGTGCCCCAAAGAATGAGGTGATTTGGTAAAATGCTATGCCCAAGATTACTATCCGAGTGCCGGCGGTGGGGTGGTTCAAATAGCCTCGGCTATCACCTCATTTTGTCCGGTCGTGATGGTCAAGTGGATTAAGGCGTCTTGTACATACCAGTTGCGTTGCTCCTGGGAGTATGGGTTCGAGTCACTTCTGGGGTGTGAGTTTTCAGTTGCATATTGTCCTGGGGACCATTCAGGCTTGTTCGCATTTGTGTTCCTCACGTGTGCCCCAAAGAATGAGGTGATTTGGTAAAATGCTATGCCCAAGATTACTATCCGAGTGCCGGCGGTGGGGTGGTTCAAATAGCCTCGGCTATCACCTCATTTTGTCCGGTCGTGATGGTCAAGTGGATTAAGGCGTCTTGTACATACCAGTTTGCGTTGCTCCTGGGAGTATGGGTTCGAGTCACTTCTGGGGTGTGAATTTTCAGTTATATATATTTATATATATATATATATATATATATATATATATATATATATATATATATATATATATATATATATATATATAAGTGCTTTCCTAATAGTGAGAACGTGAATCTTATTAAGCCCCGTTTGTCTTTGTATACGTTAGTGAATAAAAATTCAATTGTATACGGCACACATAAATGCGATAAAGCACCTAAATTATTGGGATCATCTCAAAACTCTCCAAATGTACTCACTAGAAAGGAGACGAGAGAGATATCAAATAATATATACATGGAAAATACTGGAGGGCCAAGTCCCAAATCTACACAGTAAAATAACAACGTACTGGAGTGAACGATATGGAAAATAATGCAGAATAGAACCAGTGAAGAGCAGAGGTGCCATAGGCACAATCAGAGAACACTGTATAAACATCAGAGGTCCACGGTTGTTCAACACCCTCCCAGCGAGCATAAGAAATATTGCCGAAACAACCGTGGACATCTTCAAGAGAAAACTAGATAATTTTCTCCAAGGAGTGCCGGACCAACCGGGCTGTGGTGGGTGTATGGGCCTGCAGGCCGCTGCAAGCAACAGCCTGGTGGACCAAACTCTCACAAGTCAAGCCTGGCCTCGGGCCGGGCTTGGGGAGTAGAAGAACTCCCAGAACCCCATCAACCAGGTATCAAGCAGGTATATCCAAGTTGGATTTTTATTTATCAAGCATAATAACTGAGAAAAATTTTCCGTGTATAAATGCAGGTGTGGATGTTTTTCACCGTGTGAGGCGGTGTTTTTGTTCTGTGAGGCGGTGTTTTTGTTCCGTGATGCGGTGTTTTTGTTGGTGGTGAGAGAGCGGGCACCTGCTGTTACTACCACTGGTCCGGTAGGTGCTGGCAGCAAGTTTATAATGAAAAGTATTCTCGCTGTAACAAGATTTACAAGATCAACCAGCAACCTCTCCTCTTACAAATTACGTCAGAATTTGGCCGTTTGCCCGTATGGCCGAAAATGAACGTAATTTGAAGATGAAAAATAATTGAAAATAAATTTTGGATTTTTTTTTTTCAATACAGCAAGTTACGGGTCCTCTGGTAGGTTAGGATGGCAGAAAGTTCTCCTAAGGTTTCAATGTCATGAAAGTCGTTAATTGAAAGTTTCCTCTCCTAACCTAACCGAGTAAGCCAGAGGACTCAAAACAGAAAATGGGACAATACATCACTTTCGTGAGCCGATTTCATTTCAAATTACGTCCATTTTTGGCCATAGCGCGCATGTGAGTGAAAGGCGACGTAATTTTAAGAGGACAGGTTGTATAAGTATTGTTATATTCCTATAATAATCTCAATAATTATTGAGATTCTTTATTTTTTAAACTAGATGATGATTTTTTTAATTTAGAGCAGCAGTTTAATTCTTTCTTCTCTAAAGAAATTTAATTCTTTGTTTTTCTTATATTTATTTTATTTCTAAAATTAGCAAAATATATTAATTTTGCTATATTAACCATTAATATTAATAAAGAATATTAATACAAAATAATAGTTTATTTGACTTTATATGATAATTACATGTGTAGAACACATGCGTGAAGCACACAGTTGTGGACCATACACTTGTTGAGAATATATATATGTAAAGCATAAACATGTGTGTGCGTGGTATACATTGGTCTCAACAATGATTAAGCAGCTATTTACGAAACCTGTACATCTTCTAACAATCCTGGCGGCTTTGTCTACGTTTATTAAACAGTTTACGAGCATCACAACTTCACAACTCAAGGTTATATTACTGTTATAAACAACTTCGTAGTAATTCGGAGCTCATAAACGTGTTCATAAGTGTAAACAAAGCCTCCATGATTGTCGAAAGATGTACAGGTTTCGTTAGTGATTACTTAAATGTTTTTCTGGTCCAGGTTACTGGCTAATTAAGACAGGCGAATAACGACAGCCAAGGTATAAATAGCATCAGTAACTCTCATCAACGAGTTATCTATGTAATTTGTTTTGTAAATGGTTATATCATCATCTAATACATTGATACAATACCCAATACTGTACCTAATACATTGTGAGTCGTTTCCACACGACCCAGATTGTCTGTTGGCAGGCCTGGGAGCTCTTCGGAGAATATGGTTCTCTCTACATTCTCGGTGTTTTTCTCCATATTCTCGGTGTTTTTCTCCATATTCTCGGCGTTTTTCTCCACATTATCGGCGTTTTTCTCCACATTATCGGTGTTTTTCTCCACATTATCGGTGTTTCTCTCCATATTCTCGGCGTTTTTCTCCACATTAACGGCGTTTTTCTCCACATTATCGGTGTTTTTCTCCACATTATCGGCGTTTTTCTCCACATTATCTGTGTTTTTCTCCACATTATCGGTGTTTTTCTCCACATTATCGGTGTTTTTCTTCATATTCTCGGTTTCTCTCTCCACATTCTCGGTGTTAAACGTTTACTTCACTCTGGACGTCCAAAGCTTGAGCTCTAGCAAGCTTTAAACTGTATACGCTAGAGACAAGACTTACCACGTTAACATTAATTGCTTAAGTAAATATATTTACTAAGAAGCAATAATATTCTATATCAGGATAACGCTTAGAACGAACATTATACACATGTTGTATGAACATTATACACATGTTGTATGAACATTATACACATGTTGTATGAACATTATACACATGTTGTATGAACATTATACACATGTTGTATCAACATTATACACATGTTGTATGAACATTATACACATGTTGTATCAACATTATACACATGTATGAACATTATACACATGTTGTATCAACATTATACACATGTATGAACATTATACACATGTTGTATGACCATTATACACGCGTTGCACGAACATTATACATATACTGTACAAACATTATACATGTACCAGCTGCCCTTGCCTGGTTGATGAAGTACTTCATAATATTATAAAATAATGTTGATAAAGCCTAAAAGCCCGAGGGTTTACAATATAAATCTTTTCTTACCATATAATAAACACAGTCCTTAGACCAACTCGTGTAAATTTAAATTTTGCCCCGAGGGGCGAGTTTATTGGGCAGCGCCACTCATCTTGTGAGTGAACATACCGCCATAGCAGCATGTACAACACTCCCCAATAGGAAGAAAACCCGCTGGGTTGTTCATAAACCCACTTTATTACCTACAACTCCCAAGTGTACCTTAACACCCCACACAGTATACGTTTCTTTATCGATTCAACTGTATATTCAACTCAGGGATGTCGATGAGGGCGGCCATGACGAGGTAGAAGATGAGGAAGAGCGCCGTGAGGACTGGACACAGGAACCGGCACAGGAGGTTGAGAGAGGTGGCCAGCGCCGCCCGTCGGGCAGCCAAGACCTTGCGGGCGCCGCTGGTGTAAGGGCCCACGCCCAGCACGCAGGCCGGGGCGCACTTCTGTAGAGGCAGGGGGGAGAGCTCTCAGTCAGGACAGTGGGCGAGGCACGGGCAGACAGGTAGACACGTACAGACAGGCAGACAGGCACCAACCCACTCTCGCACAAGCAGGTAGACATATAGACAAACAGGCAGACACACAGATAAATAGGGAGAGTAAAATGATGGAGTTACAGCAGTAGATGAATAGATACACAAACAAGAAATACACACAGAAAATACATAATCACTGAGAAAGGCAAAAACAGAGCTGAAAAGAAGCTGATCCAGCGAAATATTGCTTGAGAAAGTAAACAGAGGCACACATTAAAACAACTATGCTTACAAATAAATATATCAGTAGATGAAGATGGGAAAGAAACACACGAATATCGCGAGGAAGAAATGGAAAATAACAAATGAGAATACAAAATAACAGCGAAAAAATATATATTTCTAACACGCTAACATGAAGTAAGACCGGTGTTTGTTAGCTATTTTCATGAAGTTGTTCTGTGTTGCTTGACTAAGTTGTATCTGTATTTCCGCGTCTGGCCCTCTCCCCTCACTTGAGTCTGTCCCCTCACCTGACACTGTTCCCCCTCACCTGACACTGTTCCCCCTCACCTGACACTGTTCCCCCCTCACCTTGCACTGTTCCCCTCACCTTGCATTGTTTCCCCCCTCACCTGACACTGTTCCTCCTCACCTGACACTGTTCCCCCTCACCTGACACTGTTCCCCCCTCACCTTGCACTGCCCCCCCTCACCTTGCACTGTTCCCCTCACCTTGCATTGTTTCCCCCCCTCACCTGACACTGTTCCCCCTCACCTGACACTGTTCCCCCTCACCTGACACTGTTCCCCCCTCACCTTGTACTGTTCCCCTCACCTTGCATTGTTTTCCCCCTCACCTTGCACCAGTTGAGGAAGGCGACGGTGACCACCACCAGGAAGAGACTGATGATGCAGTAAACAAACCAGATGTCGACCAGCTTGAGATAAGCAGTCTGGGGGATGCTGGCGCTCGTCTGTTGGGATGAAGGAAGCTCAGGGAAGGAAGGATGGAGGGAACCCACAAACATGGCACTAGTGCAGGTGTGATGCACACACAGTGTAACATCCCACCTCATCACTCCACCCAGATCAATCACAAATTCCATCCTCTGGTAAACCAAATACTATTTGTAAAGATGAATATTATAAAGACTATATTCAATAATGCGGATATAACTATGAATAAGCAGGTTAAGTTGCATGAATGGTGGATGAAACTACAGTCATAAATTATTGCAATAATGGAGACAAAACTGACAAGTGTAACAGTAATCACGATCTTTCTGGGGGGGGGGGGGTTCTAAATCACGAGGAAACATAGACATAAAGGGGGACTAGGAGGAGGTGTGACTGCGTCGGCACTAACACAGATGATTGGGAAAATAACAGTGACAGACACAACCATTATAAAGAACTACATAATATGATATGGGTATTGGTAATCTACATCTTCCCAGTAAATACCAAAAAGCCCGTGGAGGAATATGATAAAAGCAACAAAAGCTGCCTGAAAGTATAGGACAAGGCAGTGCGAGGAGAGGACCCCAACAACACGAAGAGAAGAGGACCCCCAGTAAGAAGAAGAAGAGATGACCCACCAACAAAAAGGAGAGGATCCACCAGCAAGAAGAAGAAGAGAGAACCCACCAGCAAGAAGAAGAAGAGAGGACCCACCAGCAAGAAGAAGAAGAGAGGACCCACCAGCAAGAAGAAGAAGAGAGAACCCACCAGCAAGAAGAAGAAGAGAGGACCCACCAGCAAAAGAAGAAGAGAGGGGCCCACCAGCAAGAAGAAGAAGAGAGGACCCACCAGCAAGAGAAGAAGAGAGGACCCACCAGCAAGAAGAAGAAGAGAGAACCCACCAGCAAGAAGAAGAAGAGAGGACCCACCAGCAAGAAGAAGAAGAGAGGGCCCACCAGCAAGAAGAAGAAGAGAGGGCCCACCAGCAAGAAGAAGAAGAGAGGGCCCACCAGCAAGAAGAAGAAGAAAGGACCTACCAGCAAGAAGAAAAAAAGAACCCACCAGCAAGAAGAAGAAGAGAGGACCCACCAGCAAGGAGAAGAAAAGAGGACCCACCAGCCAGAAGAAGAGAGGACCCACCAGGAAGAAGAAGTAGAGAGGTTCCACCAGCAAGAAGAAGAAGAGAGGACCCCACCAGCAAGAAGAAGAAGAAGAGAGGACCCACCAACCAGAAGAAGGGAGGACCCACCTGGAAGAAGAAGAAGAGAGGACCCAACAGCAAGAAGAGGAAGAGAGGACCCACCGGCAAGAAGAAGAGAGGACCCACCATGGTCAATAGGCCTCAATACCCCTCCAGAAACTGATAGACCTCAATAACCCTCCAGAGATGGATAGGCTTTAAGCCCAGCACTATAGTAAAGTGACGACGACAAACCTGAGTAAAAAAAGCAGCTTCTACGAGCAGAGCCGTGAGGGCGACCATGATCCTCTCGTTGAAGTCGTCGACGGGGAAGAAGAAGACGAGGTAGCCGATGACGACGATGATGAAGGTGGGGACGTAGGTGGAGGTGATGTAGAAGGTGGACAGGTTCTGGAAGGTCAGCTTCACCACCTGTCCGCTGTAGTTAGCCTGAGGGAAAGATGGGTTGCAATTCATTCAATAATACATAGAAAGCGTTTCAATTTAATATAAAAATGTTAGCTTTGATTGCAAAAATATCAGCAATATTTATTTACCAATACCGAGGACTAGACGTTATCATTTGTATGCGTTTTCTATGACATAATATTTGTTATAGAAAACTTCGTTTCTAAATTGATGGAATAACTAAATCAATATAAGTGCCTTAAAATATCGAATCAAAGGATGCTTCAGTCTCTGAAGTATCGATTCAAAGATATGTGACTCATAAATTCAGTCCATGACAATATGTGTATGTGTATAAGGGTTATTAAGGACACTTATAACATAAAGCGCTTAACATATCCTTAACAGTTAATTTATGAGTATACCATACACATCTTTTTTTTTTGAGATATATACAAGAGTTGTTACATTCTTGTACAGCCACTAGTACGCGTAGCGTTTCGGGCAGGTCCTTAATCCTATGGTCCCTGGAATACGATCCCCTGCCGCGAAGAATCGTTTTTTCATCCAAGTACACATTTTACTGTTGCGTTAAACAGAGGCTACAGTTAAGGAATTGCGCCCAGTAAATCCTCCCCGGCCAGGATACGAACCCATGACATAGCGCTCGCGGAACGCCAGGCGAGTGTCTTACCACTACACCACGGAGACTGCAAAAAATCTCATTCAAAAACCATTATTAATAAAATGTAAATTAACAGAATTGACAGGTTATCCAAAATATATAATATATTAAATTTTAGCACTTTGTTAATTTTCTCACAGAATATAAGTACGATAAATACAAGTTAACTGAACAAGATGAATAATAAATAAAAATATTTGAACAGGATGAACAATCAAGATAACTTAACGAGAAGAACAAATATTGAAACTAGACAATTGTTTCCTCCTAAACGCTGCAAGTTGTAATGTTTAATGTTTTCCAAATATATTTAAATCTTATTATACATATTCAGTTTTATTTTTTATTCATGAAAAACTAGGCATGAAATTGTATTCATGCAGTATTGTATAACTATTGGTGCACGGGGCCACCAATAGTTATACAATACTGCATAAGACCAACACCAAATACAGTCTTTATTTGGTGTTGGCCTTAAGGCCTGTCAACCTCTGGAGGGTTATTAAGGCCACCATAATACCTTACTGACCAACCAGCAGGTATACTGTAGTCCTGAACATTGTCCAGGACTAAAGTATACTCTCAGTGTATATATGTCCCTATACAGAGTCTTTAGTAATCTCTGTCATTCATAGGCTAATAAAGTAACTATAAGTTCATTATAGAAGCAACATGCTTTGTATATTTCTGATAAAAATCAGTCAAATAATGGCATAGTTTATAGTAGTATAATGAGAGAGAGAGAGAGAGAGAGAGAGAGAGAGAGAGAGAGAGAGAGAGAGAGAGAGAGAGAGAGAGAGAGAGAGAGAGGAGAGAGAGGAGAGAGAGAGAGAGAGAGAGAGAGAGAGAGAGAGAGAGAGAGAGAGAGGAGAGAGAGAGAGAGAGAGAGAGAGAGGAGGGGGAGCGAGAGAGAGGGCGAGAGAGAAAGGGCGAGAGAGAGAGAGGGGGAGAGGGAGAGAGGAGGGAGAGAGAGGAGGGAGAGAGAGAGAGAGAGAGAGAGAGAGAGAGAGAGAGAGACAGACAGACAACAGACAGACAGACAGACAACAGACAGACAGACAGACAGACGAGGGAGGAGAGAGAGAGGGAGAGAGAGAGAGAGAGAGAGAGAGAGAGAGAGAGAGAGAGAGGAGAGAGAGAGAGAGAGAGAGAGAGAGAGAGAGAGAGAAGAGAGAGAGAGATAGAGAGAGAGAGAGAGGAAGGGCGAGAGAGAAAGGGCGAGAGAGAGAGAGGGGAAGAGGAGAGAGTGAGAGAGAGGAGAGAGAGAGAGAGAGACAGACAGGCAGAGACAGACAAGACAGACAGAGACAGACAGAGACAGACAGAGACAGAGACAGACAGAGACAGACAGACAGAGACAGACATAGACAGAGACAGACAGAGACAGACATAGACAGAGACAGACAGAGACAGACAGAGACAGACAGACAGACAGACAGAGAGAGAGAGAGAGAGAGGAGAGAGAGAGAGAGAGAGAGAGAGAGAGAGAGAGAGAGAGAGAGAGAGAGAGAGAGAGAGAGAGAGAGAGAGAGAGAGAGAGAGAGAGAGAGAGAGAGAGCTCACCTCGTCGTGAGGCATCATCACCTCATCCTTCAAGTAGTACTCCAGCAGCTTCCGCTTCCCGACGTAGGTGACGCCGTTGGCCTCAGGAACGAGAGCGATGTAGTCCTTCGTCATCCCCAGCAACACCACCCCCTGCAACATACACTCACGCCTCACTCATGTTGATCTGGTGTTGCACTTGAGGCCCATCAACATCTGGAGCGTGTTACGGGCTCACCATAGCCCGTGCTGCTTGGAACTTTATGTTCTGAGCAGCTGAATCTAAAACATTATCAACATCTGGAGCGTTATTAAGGCCACCACAATACTGACCAACCAGCAAGTGTACTTGAGTCCTGAACATAGGTCCAAGACAAGGGTCTTGGACCCTTGAGTGTATATACACTCAAGTGTATATACACCGAGGTGTGGAATGCACTTCTGTGTATATATCCCGTGTATTCCAAATGTATTATATTAAACATTTATACTATTGTTCTTTCACTTTATTCTGCATAAATATTAACACATTTTTTGTGTATTACTGATGTTAGTGTTTCTTTACTATTCATGATACAGTACTGTATATTAAATAATAATGTATTAATTTATATCTCAATCTATATGTGTATTGAGGATATCTTGATATTACGACCACGTCTACTCAATATATGCCGGGTATATTAATGATGAAGGAATATATTCACCGAGAGGTGTAGCCTAGATCTCGGTGTATATGCGGTGAAAGTATACTCTCGTCCTGGACAATGTTCAGGACTAGAGACCGCCAAATCGATTAATAACCCGGTACCTATTCACTGCTGAGTGAACAGAGGCATACAGTTAAGGATTGGCGCCTAGTCAATCCTCCGTGGCCAGGATATGAAACCAGGCAACATCGCTCGCGAAGCGCGAGGTGAGTGTCTCACCATTGCGTCATGGGGACTTATTGAGTCATTATTGAATAAAGAAGCATATAGAAAATATAAATGTATGACATCATAATTATTTTTTCCTTATTACCCAGAAGTGATAAACATATCCACAGTTACTGAGAACAACCACAACTTATGCTAACATCACAGCCACTCAATGAACAACTCCAGCCGGATCAACCATTGCCTCTAACAAATATCTACAATAGTGTGAAACTACAGAGTACTGCGTGAATCGACCTGGGACCCAAAATGCACGAACCCCCATTCGCTACCAATTAAATGAGAGGATATGAGGCAAATTGCATAAACATTTAATTGGAGGACCAGTTAGTCTTTCCTGACCCATGAAACCAGTTGGTTCTCTGCTTGTAATCCTTATACTTCCACAAGGTAATGTGGCAGTGGGTGGTTCTCATTCATCTAGAGTCCCAGTTTGGTTCTTTAGACTTTAGACTTTACACTAGAGCAGGACGAATGCAAGGGACATACAAAACTTGCTCACAAAATCACTCAACAAGTACTTGCACATTCAACCCATTGTGTCAAAATTATAGTATTTATAAAATTAAAGTATTCTCTCACAAATAACATATGTCCAGTGTAACAGTTCAAGTCAGAAACTTCCTTAGTAGCCCCTTGCCTGAACCTAACTTTACCTAACCTTACCTAAACCTAAGCTAAAGCTGATCTAACCTAATGTCAATTACCTCCCCATCCACCCTAGTCACCAATTTTTATCCTAAATTCAATTCTTCCGAAGCAGAGTAAATTATATCCAGATTGAGGCTCGGCCACCACCTTCAGCCACGTTAAAAAGCGCACACGATCAGCATCCTGCAGGTCCCGCCTTGACCATCTTGCACAAGCACAAAATGACAGATTGTTTCAAATATAAACATGCAATAAGAAGAATCGAGATTTAAAACAAACAGAAGCATGAAATCATAAAACAACCACTAATTGTAGTTTTGTAGACTAAATGAGAACCCAACCAATCACCTGGCCCCAGAGGCTAAGTCCTACTCAAGACAACAAATAACCCACCAGCTTGCAGATCTGGGTGTCGAAGGGAAATGAAATTAGGTCGAACTGGCAGGAGGTGGTGACAGTGAGCTTTTTGATCAGCACCAGCGGGTTGTCTCCTCCAGCGAAGATCTCGTCTGCAAGGGAGAATAATGCATGTAAACACGACTCATATATTAGTGTGTCAAGGGTAGAAAAAACGAAAATTTAATTAGTCACATAAGCACACAACTCTTCCCACTCCCTCAAAAATGGGTCTTGAACTGGAAGGTAAAAATCAAGTTAGTTCGAGACATCCTGACTCACCTTCCCCGAGGTTTTCGTCATTGTCCGGCAGCGGCTCCGTGGCTCTCTTAGCCACCAGGAGCGACCTGCGCTCAGTCACGTCGCTGGAGGTGAAGGCGTCGCCGAAGAACTCTACCTTGGGCATCCATGGTTTCTGATCATCGGTGAGGTGAATAGTATTGAGAAACTCGGCCTCGTTCAGGTGGTGGAATTTGATTCGGACGTCATTCCAAGCGATGCGCACTTCCAGCTCGCAGACAAAGTTGAAACCTGTGAGGTCGAAGGCCCGCACCGACAGCATCTGAACGTGAAGGGAAACATTGACGGGAGTAGATCGGTCCCTTCTAGGCGGAGGCGTCATTTTGTTGTATCCTTTGGGAAGAACCAAAAAACGGCAGCTGACTTCATCTGAACCATCTGGGCAGTTGACTTCCATGTTGCAGCGCTGATGTAAACGTATGCAGGTTCCATCGTCACAGGAGAACTGTTGATCCTTGCAAGATGTCATCCTTAGGGTGACATCACTCTCTCCACACACATCGTTGTTGATGCTCCACTGATTGAGGCCGGTGGGGTAGTGGGTCGGGGACTTCATGGTGAGCATCGCCGACACTGAAGACTTATCATAGCGAGTAATCTGCCAATACCCAAAGTTTCCAGCGTGAGTGTTGTTCTTGGAAATAAGATGTTTAGTGATCAAGGAGTAATAAGCGCCAATGAAAACAACTGTGTTGTTAACTTGTAGGAGGAAATACTTCCTATCAAATTCTGATTTCCCGCAGAGGCCCCTAATTCTGACGAAAGGTAGCTCTTCAAAATGGCAGGCTATGCACCGTTCCACAGTGCACGACCTGGGTACCCAATTTCCGTAGGCGAAAGGGAGTATACTCCGACTTCCTTTAAAGGTAACACACACTTCTGGTTCTTCAATAGGTAGACCACGATTCTGTTCGAAATTTGAGTAAGAGATAGGAGCGCGAGAAGCAAAGTGCTGCCAGTACTGCCCGCTTTCGTTGCCTTTAACTCCAAGCCAAATTGTATCGCCAACGCCGTCACTGCATCCAGCTGCATAAGGTGCTGCCAGAGTGAACAGGTTCGTGTTTTCTTGCCGATCAATCGGTACTTTGAGAGTCCCTCCAAGAATACGACAAAGCAGTTCCCCTTCTTGGAAGAGACGAGCTTCTGGAAAAATAAGATCAAAGGCCTCCTGTTGGTCACATACCAGATCAGAACCCACATGCTCAATCTCCACGTTGCTCACTTTGTAATCTTGTTCAATGTTGGAAAAGTCCAAGATGGGCACGGAGCTATTGTCTAGAACCTGGCAGGACGTGTAACTCTTCAGCTGATTTGTCGTGAGAATCTCGTCATAGACTCGCAGATCAACAAGAGAGCCTCGGAGGCTCTGGAACTCGTTGAAGCCTCCTCCAAGAGTGTCCTGCTCTTGGCCAATGTAAAGCTGCCCTCCACCGTGGACCATCAAGGCAGCTGCCGTCCCAGAGGTGTCGACGAGGCCCACCTGGATATGGCCATCTTGTACCACCTCGGTTGTGCGCCCAGGCAGATCCATAGCTGCGCAGAAAGACGACCAGACCCTCAACTTCACATGAACTCTCACATCCAAGGACCACTTGTGGTTGCAGCAAGTAAGCATCATCTCTTGTTTATCGTAGTTGAAACCTGAAAAATAGAACATATTAATGTGGGGATAAGACGCCTATGAATCATATTAACATGTGGATAAGGCTACTAGAAATCATATTAATGTGTAAATATTTTCCTGTTAGAACATGTTCACTGATTTTTCTCATGGGATATTCGTTAGAGAAATTGGTCTATAGTTAGAGCTTCCTTTGACAAAGAACGCTCGGTAATCTCAAACTCGCGATCTTGTTATTGTGAGTTCATTTAGCCCATTCAGCCAGTAAAACCATAGAAATTTAAGAAGTTGAAGATTGTCACCAAAGCAAGGTATTAATCGCAGCTGCTACCTTCGCATACACATGTGTCAAATACAAACTAAATCAATCTTTGGAGACACGTAAATAAGAGACTTCGAAAGTATTCGAAGAGTATTAGAAGAGTATTCGAAATTTATTCAAATTTATTCGAAATTTAATTCAAAATTAGATTCGAGAGTATTCGAAATTTCCTGTTGACATTCCACCCATCTTACCGACATAAAGTTCATTGTCATAGTTCTCCTTGGCGTAGGAGATAACGACGATCTCCTGACGGGCCTGGAGGAGATGCATCCTGAAGCAGATGGTGAGCTGGCGGAGGTCGGGTACTTCTCCCAGGTACTTGAGATGGGTGTTGATGCTGGCAGGACCATCTCCCTGGAAGGTCAGCATCCTCGCTCTCCATTCATCTTCAAGTCAACAATTTTGTGAGAAACAGTACCTTAAGGTACTGTTGATAGTTATATTGTCAATAATGTACATACATACACACACATAATATATTCATATACTGTATACATAATAATTTCATACGTAATACGTGGAGAGCAATGAATAACTGGAGCGCACTAAGGAGTGAAGTGAAGGAGGTGAACTTCATACATAGCTTCAAATACAGATATGACAGAGAATACAATATACAATACAGAAATACAGAGAATGGGCTCATGCAGGCTGACTGAAGGTCAAGTTGACAGTACAACAGCTGACTGAAGGTCAAGCTGACTGTACAACAGCTGACTGAAGGTCAAGCTGACTGTACAACAACTGACTGAAGGTCAAGCTGACTGTACAACAGCTGACTGTACAACAGCTGACTGTACAACAGCTGACTGTACAACAGCTGACTGAAGGTCAAAAAATGGCACCAAGGACCCAATGTTCAACTCACGAAAACACAAATAGGTGAGAACAATTAGATGAGCACATTCATCCACAAATAC